ATAAATCTTAACAAAGCTTAAAAAAAAAATGAAAAAATTCTTTAAAGATGAAAGAAGTCAAAAACAGAAGAAAGAAAGCTTAGATCTGTTGTTCGATCGATGGAGAGGATCGCCCCTGCCATGACTGCGAAATTACCGGTTGCATATGAATGGAAAATCCAAAAATTCACATACCATCCGGATCACCACGCCAAAATACAAGTCTTTTTATCTCGATAGCAGATCAACATACCATCCGGATCACCACGCCAAGATACAAGTCGTTTATCTCGATAGCCGATCAATGAGCTTGAAAGAATTAAGAAATATTGTCACTACCTTGGGGATTAAAATAGTCAAAGTACTACACCACCACCACAACGTTAATCAAAGAACTATAGAGCCTGTTTGGCTAAGCTTATAATAAATAATCAATCCGCAGAATACATTAGAGAAACTCTTAGGTTTCTTCTCTTGGATCTTGACAACATCGAGCAGTTGAGAAGAAATCAAGATACAAAAATGGATTTGTTTTGTTTTGTTTGTTTGTTTTTGTTTTTGTTTTTTTGTTTTTTTTTCATGAAGGGCTATTGATTTTCATTTTCAAAAATGGGAGAAAAATCATCGGCTGCACAGAGAGGAGCAACCACCCTTAAAGAACTTCCACCCTCTCTGTTTGCCTTATTCATCCCTTCCAAGCTCTTAACCCTAGTTGTTGCCTACTCTCTTCGTTTATACGATGGAAGTCGCTTTGGTTTTAGGTTGAGGGGGCCGGAAAATCGATGACCTGGGCTCTTATCCGGGCCAGGTATATTAATTTAATAGAAATGCACATGACTTGGTCAAAAATTGGCTTTGACCGAGTTAAATGGTGGTTTTGACCGAGTTAACTTGGCCGATTTACCGGTTTTCAAAGTTATTTTTAAAAATTTTGAGGATTCAAGGAATTGAACATTAGACCTCTAAGTAAAACAATTAGTTCATCACCATTGGAGTGGTAGAGTACTTTAGTATGTTTTATGTGCAATAAGTTATATGTA